GCGTGACCCACCCCGCCCCACCTTGTGATCCCCCACGCATGCGTCCTGCTCCCCTGCCCATTTTTGGCTTCCAGGTTGGTGCAAGGAGGCCTTACAGGCCCAAAACGGGGACTGGGGGCACTGGACAAGGCTCCAGAATGCAACGTGAGCAACACCCCCCCCCATGCATGCACCCTTCCTCCCCCACATGCACTTCCCCACACGCATGCGTGGCAGAGACCTAAAGACCAGCGTGCCACCTGTGGCATACTTGCCATAGGTTCGCCATCACAAATCTGGAGTATTTGCTTTTCATATTTTTCTAGTGCCCAGCAGGTGGTGGTGCTGCGCTGTAAATGTTTATAAGGTACTATACTGAATAAACAAAGCCGCTAACTCAAAGCTAACAGATTATTAAATCTCCTATAGGGCTGTGTACTTGTGGCCCAGGTTCTGTGGGCTGCAATTCTCCGGATCAGATGTAGAGCCTTAGGAAATGAACTGAACTTAAAATGTCGGCTTCCCCACTTTCTAGGCAACAACATCTTGCACAGGTGGTGGTGGTGTAGTGTTCATAAAGATTGAATTGCTTCCCAGCTGCCTGATGACTGAAGATGTATCAATGAACTAAGTCTTTCCTCCTTTTCCTTCCCCTGTGGCTTCTGTCCTTTTTGCCCGTTTCCCTTTAAATGCATAGACTCTGAATTGTTGGAGCATTGTTTCCCTGCACTGCTTTTTTCAGCATCCAAGGATAATCTGTATTGGACCTAGGCAAAAGTCTGTGGTTCAGTAACATAAGGCAGTGATTTTAAATTAAAATTCATTTAATTTTTAAAATGTCCCAAATGTTGGGAAGGTGCCAATTTTTAATGTTCTTTCTTCTACAAGTTCACTGAAATTTTGTGCAGTGTAGCCTTTTCTGGGAAGCTTCAGCTATTTACAGTTCTTTCAAAAAGGAAATAAATGGCAGGCAGGGGCTTTGGTGCTCCTGATTTGTGGGAGACCTGAATTTTGGCAGCTCCAGGAAACGTGTGGCTGACTCCCCATAGAATGCCCGACTCTCTTTCCCACAGGACCATACCTGTGTGCTGAACAGCATTGTCGGCTGGGACAGCACGATTGGACGCTGGGCTCGTGTGGAGGGCACCCCCAGTGACCCCAATCCAAATGATCCCTATGCAAAGATCGACAGCGAGACCCTCTTTCGAGATGGCCGCCTGACTCCATCCATTACTATTCTGGGTAAGTTGTGTATCCTGTTGCTCCCTTCCCCAAGAAACAGTTGGGACCTTCCTGCCTTTTTAAGCAGGAATCTCCTGTGGGATTGCAACTCCTCCCCAGCCTGTTTCCTGATCTGCTCCTTTTTGACACCCCACCCCCCAAACAGGGTGCAATGTGACCATTCCTGCCGAAGTGGTCATCCTGAACTCCATCGTGCTTCCTCACAAGGAACTCAGCCGTAGCTTCAAGAATCAGATCATTCTTTAATAAGCCATGAATTCACCTCTGGTGACTTCCGGACAGAAAGTTCAAGAAAGTCATAATAATATAATTTGTGATCATCGGACACCCTTTCAAGCCTCATCCAATCTGGGTAGGCAAAGATCTATGGTTTTGGTACCGTCTGCAATGTCCTTCTGGGTTTCTTCAGGGTATGGGAATATGAGCCTCTTTCTAGGGCTGGAAGAAGTTGAGTTGCCCCCTCTTCCCTGGCTTGACTGCCAGTAAACTTCTCCAAGGAAGAGGCCTGCCTGAACTTTACCTCACTAAAGGCTGTTGACAGAGAAAAACCTGTAGCTGAGAGGACACTTCTCTGCAGGCTTCTGTGGCCCCCAGATGCCTTTGTTTGTCCTCCAGTTAAATCCCATCAGTCCAAAGAGCTCCATTCCTGCAGCTCACATGGCAAAAAGGCCTGTAATTCTCCCTTCCCTTCCATGTAGTGTCGCCTTTCTCCTCTGGCACTGCCTTGTGTACTTGCTCACTAAGGAAATTGCCAGATGCTGGTTGTTTGTGAGGCAGAGGAAGTGATTTGTTTCCATAATTCTATCTAGTACAACACGCGGCAAATTGAAACCTTGAAACGAACGAGAAAGTGTTGGTAAGAAATCACCAATAATAAAGCATACATTGTGGAAAGGTTTGGGTATATTGCCTCATCCCAGTGAATGGAATGGCTTCCCATAAGGCCTGGAGCAAAAGCTGCTTGTCAGAGGTCCAAGTAATACATCCATAGCAACCCTGAAGCTGACCTGGCCATTTTGAGGCTTCAGTGTTGCCTCTGCTACTATTCAGAAGCTTTTGGGAAAGGGAGCCGATGGGGACTCCCAACACAGGAAGTTTCTACATTGCAGATAGATTCATTTGGTGTCCAACTTCTCTTTCGTTTCTCTGGAGAAAGAAGACCTTATCCATCAGTTTTACCTTTCCATAAAAGAACCGAGTTTGCAAAAACAATGCTTCTTTATTATTATTTGGAGGAAAAATATCCTTTGAAAAACATAGCAGGTTGGGAGAAATTTATCTTTCTTTCCTCTCCACCCTGTGTTATCCATGTGGTAAGCAGGAAAGTTGAAAGAAACATGCCTAGAAAAACCCTGTTTTTGCAAGGATTCTCTGTGTTATCATCTCTGTGCTAGCAGTGAGAATATGAATGAATGGTCACCCTGGTTTAACTCTCATCATGTTCAGTGGTGAAACGGGGGAGGTTAGTTTAACCCTGTACCCTCCAGGGCTTTCTGGGTTAAATCTAACCAAACATGGATTGGCTTTTTTGAGTCCCTGTAATAAGCTAATCGAACCCCACTAACCTCCCAAATGCTTCAAAGTGATGTTTCCCAGCAAACTCCTTTCCCTGCAGAATCCTGTGTCCCAAACAGCTGAAATCAATATCTGTCCCTTGAACTGGTTTGTGCTGATCCATCTCTGCTGGTTTTTCTGTGAGTCCCACCAGGGAGCCCCCTGGCGTGTTCATTGGATACCCATTTATCAAGAGAGGATTTATCTTTCTCCTGCTACTGGAAGCATGATTTTCTTTGTAGTTGGTTAATGGCAAAGGGAACCCGATAATGGTAAATTGGCAACTTTAGCTAATTGCTTCCTGTAATCTTTCATTGCTCCCCTCCTCCAGTCTGCAGTTTAGAGTTAACTAACTTGGCAGCCAGCAATACCTCTCACTTGGGCTCTGAAACTAAGCAAGTGTTCTGACCTAGGCTTCCCAAAAAGCACGAGGCAGAATCCTGGTCCTGACAAACCCTCTTGTATTAAGCGAATGTGAATTCTTCTCATTCACATTCAGCAAGGCCTGGCAAACAGTCTTTCAAAGGAATATTTATGACTACAGACCTTATCTATCTCAGAAAGCTGCCATGTAAATATTTTCCAAATGAGATGCTGTGCAAGGAAAGACTGGGCACAGAGTCTCTGAGATTCACGGACAGATCTTCACACTCCTGGAACGAATCTAACGACCGAATGAACTGCAAAAGCCCACTCCCCCTTCGCTCCTCTTTTATTTCCTATGGGAGGGGCCAATCACCTTCCACCTGTGGCTTTACTCCCAAGTCTACCCTGATTTCTGAGTTGTTCTTTTCTTCTAGCAGCTCTGCGCATGCACACACTGGGAACAGGCTCCAGCTGTCCCTTTGCCTCACTGCTGTTTAGCGCCATAGGGACCTGATCACTGTCAGATGGCCTCGGCCCCGTCTCTGCCTCCAACACAGAACCTTCGTCCGAGCCTTCCCCAGCCTCCAGGTCTAGCCCATGCTCCTCCCCAACCTCCTCACTGTCCGACTCTGCTGGCTGCTGGCAGGACACAACAGCAAGGTCTGGTCTGGTTAGTCCTTGGAGATGGAGGTGCCTGTGGAGCTTAGATTGGGATGTTAAGGAACATCCCATAAGGAATGCAGTTTCTGCTGTCTGGAGCCCATGATGGAGTCAGGCTGAACTCGAGTGAGGCTCCTGTTTACTTTCTATTTGCCTCAGAGGCCTCAGAGCTTAAGTAATGACTAGAAATGGAATAGGCCGATTGGTAAATGAGCCCAGCAGTCCCGGGGAAGGCTTTGATGCCTGCAGCATTAGTCACACATTATCAATGTGTTATTCCCGATGATGCTTTGTTGTGGAGCCAGTTGTCAAGAAGGAGAGATGGTGGTGAAGGATGCTTTTATTTTTATTTTTTCAGGAGCCGCATCAGAGTTGTAAATATAATCAGCGCTGTCTGATTCCGCTCATGTTATTTAATTCTGTTTAAGAAAGCAGAAATCCTTCTACCCTCTTATGTGATTATAATCCAATTTAATTGGATTAACCTCTAAACAGATGATATTGTTTGAACAGCAATATCTTCAAACTTAGCTTCATAGATCAGGGATCCCCATCCCCCGGTCCATGGACTGGTACTGGTCTATGGCATGCCAAAAACCGGTCTGCACAAACATGCGAAGCCCCATTTGTAGGAAACCATGCTGCCTCTGGTCCACGGAAAAATCTCCATGGAACCGGTTCCCAGTGCCCAAAAGGTTGGAGACCGCTATCATAGATAGCAATAGCACTTAGACTTATATGCTGCTTCATAGTGCTCTACAGCCCTCTCTAAGCGGTTTACAGAGTCAGCATATTGCCCTCAACAATCTGAGTCAAACTTGAGCCTGGTGAGATTCGAACTCCCAAACTACAGGCACCTGGCAGGCAGCAGAAGACGCCTGCAGAGCTGCATTATAACCACTGTGCTAGATGGTTTCGTACTGGATGGAAAAATTGAGGAAGGAATGATGGAGAGACTGGTGGGCTATAATTTATTGAGGGTTTTTTTTTGTTTACTTTCTATAAAGAGGTTATAACTTGCTTCACCAGAAGTCACAAGGAAACTAGTAAGACTTCTGAATATGTTTGCAGAGATTTTTGGCTGCCCCGGCTTACTTCTAAGTATACATTGCCATGCAGATGCAAATAATGCTGTTGATTATTTCAGGATGTATCTATACACATAACACCTACATTACTTAGCTACTTTACCTTTGGTCTCATCAAAATGGAATGTGACCCTCAAAACATTTTTTAAATTATTTTATTAAGAGGTTTTTTGAAATAGTAAAAAATGATACAAACTAAAAAGGAAAAGGAAAAAATAGAATAAAAGGTGAAAAAAATCCCCTTAAAAAGTGATTTCCCACTCATCATGACAAATATCAATAAAATTTCATTACCTCTTCACCTCCTCTTAATTAGCAGATACAAAATGCTTCATTCCATAACTGTAAATTATACATAAATCTAATAAGTAACATCTCCAATCTGGGTAAAAAAAAACCAAACTGCCCTTAAGTAATAACATTAATTAACAAATATAAATCTCACCATATCTCAAATCTTAACTGTAACCGGATGCACATTTAGAAGGTTTAAAGTGGTCTCAGTATCATATTGTGAACAAAAGATTGATATTTAACATAGTAAAGAGGGACAAATTCTCCTTTAAGAACAAGCTCACAAGATCTCTTAAGTAAAAGGACAATTACAAAGCAATTTAAACACTATCAGATTAAATATAATGACTACAGGGAAAAAGGCCTAAGCACCATGTCAATTGTAAACTAATCCAATATACAACATCTTTTCAATCCAAATGTCAAGTTTAAAAAAAAAACTAACCCCAAATAACATCCCAATTTTAACCCTGATCAAATAAACCAAGTTTCTGTTCCTTCCATTTGCGTAAAATAATCTTACGCTTTAGTCCATTCAGATTATTTATCTTTGTCTCTATTTTTCCCCAAAATTTTAAAAAGCCACTGTTATGTCTAGTAAGAAGATTTTTTTCCAATTGTTCTTTGGGATTGGCATGTTTATTTCCTATTAATTTTTAAAGTCACGTCCAATTTTTTTTTTGTATGTGTAAATGACAAAATCTTGTTCATGTTGCTCTCAGATAAATGTTGCTGTAAATCTTTTTCTGTAACAGTTTCTTCTGGGAACAAACTGTTCCTAAGAACATACAACATTATTGATTCAAGGTCCTGATGCAATTCCTACAAAATGTCTCCAAACTTTTTACCATGTTATATCTCCAATATCAAAACTCATTTTTCTTTCCCATAAAAAATGCATTTTTTTGTTTTAAAAATTAAATTCAAAGTCTTAATATTCAAAATCAAATATTCTAATTTTTTCCACGCCTTTAGTCGGCTTAAAACTTTCTATAGCAAAAATCTTATCTTGATTTTTGTGGTTTATTTTAAAAGTTCTTAAAACTTATGAAGATAGTTTCATTTTCTTATGTTAAGGACTGATACAAGCCGTGTTTTGGTTTTTCAGCCTTGTGATTTTGAAAGTATCTAACTTATTTAGAGAACCAGTAACCGACTTCTGAAAGTGATTAGCAAAAGAAATGCAAACTTGATGCCCTTTGAAAACCTCTGATTGTGGATGGAGCAAATGTGACAAATTCCCTTGGTTCAATGTCTATGGAGATTCTCAGTCATCCATGGTTGTCTCAAATATGCTTTAAGACTGGACTTTCTGGTTTTTCTCTGAAGACATTTTGCTTCTCATCTAAGAATCTTCTTCTGCTCTTCAATGAGAAGCAAAACATCTTCAAAGAAAAACCAGAAAAACCAGTTGCCTCTTGAAGAAGCACCTTTGAGATTCCTTTGGCTCCTGGTTTTCCCATGCTCCAGAACCCCGCTACCCTCTCCTTAGTGAAGTTCAGCTTGTGAGTTTTTGACCAGAAAAGGTCGAAGGAGATGATTTACCCATCGGCTCCACTTTTCAGCCACAATCATCAGCTCCACTTCCTATGCAGAGCTGCCTTCAGCCAGCCATTATTTCCCCTGAAAACATTGCTCAGAACCCATTTCTAAATGATTCCTGTCAATAATAACCACCATGCACATGATATGCAAGCCTTCCTTATCCATATTCTGATGAGAATTGTTCAAGGGTCATTCAATATAATAATTGAATATATAAGAAGGAATAAGCCAAATACCTAAACAGAACCAGCAGTGGTGAAGTGGGGAAACCCAGTTTCAAGTTGCATAGAAATTACTGGGTGAGTTTGGGTCAGTTGCACTCTTAAGTCCAAGGGTGTAATGCAGGGTAATTGTTATGGAGGGTGGTTGTTGGCAAGTGTAGGAAGGGTGCAATTGATAATATTATGGGTATCTTGCTTGAGGACCTTGAATCTGGAACAAACACCTCTCCATTTATTTCTGATGGAAGCATTTTGACAGAAATGACTAATGCAGCTGTTGACCTACTTGCACCCATTGCCCAGACAGAACCTTTGGGTCCTTGGTTGTGAGTTTGGCTTTGGACCCTCCCCAACCCTTTCCTATCATCTCAGGAGTGCCCACCCCTGTTGCATTCGACAGCTGGCCTGTTTTAATCCTTTGCCACTTCTGCCCTGCTAATGGAATTGTGAATTTTATCTTCCCTAAAACGCAGGCTTCTATAAAATGCTGGACTGCGAAACTGGAGGGGAGGGGGATTATAAAGTACTTAACACGCCGCTAAGGCTCAGGGTGGGGAGGAATTAAAGCAATAAAATGCCAGGGATTGAGCTGGGGTAGGCAAGTCTTTCTTTGCTCTGAGCTCTGACCACGTGGCGAATGGCTTGTTGTGCCCACCAGGCTCTCTGGGTGCTTCTGATAATCAGGCCAAGCCTTATCTGGGTAGGCCAACGCTGGAGGGAATAGCAATTATTTTTTTATAAACCGATATAAACCGATTCCAGGTGCAAAATCTAGCAAGTGAGGAAAGTGCAGAGTTGAAATGAGGTGAATGTGGCTCAGAACTTTGCTGAAAGCTTGAGAGAAACATCAGTAAATACCTGGGCAAATATGTGTATAATTAGACTTTTCATAAATCAGGCTATAAAGTCCGCCATCAGAGGTCCCTGCATCAGGTTAAGTCGTTCTGGCATAAGCGGAGACATCCTTTTGTGGATAAGCAAGTGGCTGAATTATAGGAAATAGAAAGCAAGGCATAAATGGTCAATTTGCACAGCAGAGAGAGATAAACCGTGGGGAGCCTCGGAGATCTATAATGGGACCTGCGCTTTTTTAACACATTCATTAATGACTTGGAAAAAGGGATTGAGCAGGGATGTAGCAAAATTTGCAGATGATAAATTATTCAACATAGTTAAATCTAAAGCAGATTGTAAGGAGTTCCATGGGGATCTTATAACAGTGGGAGAGTGCATAATGAAATGCAGAGTTGATAAATTCTGCACTGTGCAATGGGAGCGGGTGGTGGGGAGGAGGGAATAGGTTCAGCTACTGTGTTTAGAATTGGCCATGTCCATTAATAAAGAGAAAAGCTGCACTCTGGTCCCGGGAATA